GAACCGCTCGGATTTGGCGTTTATGCTGTTAGCGGGGGTTGGGAGGAGAGCGCCTGACTACAGGAGGTGGATCGAGAGCCGGTGGGAAGACAGCGTGGGAGGTTGGCTTTTCTCGCGCGCGCGCGTCATTTTTCTGTGGCAGAATTCAAACTGGCGCTGACGGTTGTCGCCGACCCGGTCTCTCCCCCCCCCCCCCCCCCCCCCTCTCGACCATGCCTCTGTGCGAGGGAGAGGTGCTAACGGTTTTCTTTCTCGCCGTTTTCTTGTCGGGAGCGTTTCGAAGGCCGTTGGGACTGTGTATGGGGGGGGGCAGTGTTGCTATAGTAACTGAGTTGCCGCCGCCGCCCCTTTCACTGCAGCGATCGAGTTCTACATGGGAGTTGACAGAATCTCGAGGGCTCCACTTCCGTGGCGCATAAAGAGACAGGGTGGAAAATTCCCTGCGCCAGAAACTAACACGAGTAAATAGGGAACGGCGGGCGGTGCTGGGTGCTGCGGCCGCGGCCGCCACCAATGAAGCAGTCGCTGCTGTTCAATGTTGGTCGGGCGGGCGCGTGGAGTTACCGGCTTGTTGACGAGTAGGCTGGCCTGCAGATTTGGCGTGGGAAAGGATCGCCGAGAGCCTCAAGCTGCACTTTCGGTGTTCGTATAAACGGGGAAGGGGGGGGGTGGAGGAAGGAGGGGCAGATGGCTCAGTAGCTGCTCTGGGCGCCCCAAAGGCTGCTGAGAGAGCTTCTAGAACTGAAGGTTGGGATGCTGCTAACAATAATGAAACCATCTGTCATTACTTTGTTCATCCCTGTAACGTGTAACTCTGTGGAGCTGCTGTAAATGACGTTTCGTGTACTGTAATGCTGAGAGAGAAAAAACAGCCGGCGCTATAGGAGATACAACTTCCCCAACAAGGAATATTATGGTGCCGGTATGCTGAGAAGGGAATATCTTTAAGGTCTTACCATGTTGTCAGGTTCTCCCGCAATAAAGGCACTTTATTGGAGACATCTGACAATTGTAGGGGTATCTCTAAACTCTGGTAGCATAATGCAGAGTCACCGCAGCTTGAACTCTAGGATTGAACACTCCAGTACTAACAAGGATGGGGCTTCCTTGTTCAGTGATACCTGCTGTCTCCCAATTGGGAAGAATTCTCTTTAGTAGTATAACGTTTCTTGTGTTTGATGGTTCTTGAAAGGAAAAGCTTTACATCCATGTTTAGGAAGGAACATGTTGAAATGAGATCCTCAAGGCATAGTGAGGAAATATTGGAGCTGGGCAAGAACAGGACACTTGATAGCCTTTCTAATCTGAGTTTGGTTGTAAAACTATGATGCAGAGTTGTATTGCCTCCGAAGGAGATGACTGCAACTTTAGCAATCAATTGGGGCTTCATCTTTGATTTCCAAAGTGAGTTTGGTTAATGTTTCTTTTACTCAAATGAGTTCAACAGTTCTTTTATGCAATGATGTCTAAGGGGAACTAGCTTGTCAGTGGCCCTGAAAATAGAAGATAACAGTAAAGGGTAAATCTAGAAATGTGTACTTAGCACAAGTGCTAAGTACTTTTAGACCTCAACAGCAAAGGCTAGTTAAGTGCTATTTTACCTCTGATGCTGAAATTAGCACAATACTTTTGATATGATTGCATTTTCTGTTGTTGCATCAGGTAACTGAGAAATATTTAGAAGCTGATCTGCTTAAGTATTATGAGGTGTACTTTGAATGTATTTTAACGGTAGTATTATAAAGATGCCAAACTAGTTTTACTGCCTAACCAAAACACGTAAATTACATTTAAAAGTTAGACATCCTTTCTAGAGGTTGGTGTATTGAGCAGTATGTGGTTGTAGACTACTTTCTATAAGCACCTTGCAAACATCCACTGTTCAATATTGCATTTATAAACTACTCACAAAAATATTCAGGGTTTAAATTCTGGTCATACGTTCAAATTGAGACAGTAGTTAATAGGGATCAGATTAAAGTATTAGTAATTGTAAGTTCAGGTTAGTTGAAATCACATTGGAAAAACACAGCACAAATAGCAACAAAGTTTTGATTAGTGCTGCTGGTTTTGAGGAAGGGTTAATTGCTTTGTTGCCATAGGCACAGGATCATTGCTTATTAGACTCCTTTTCTGACTGAAGAGAAACTCTTCACGGTGTACCTGTTTCTACTACCAGGGGGATTTCCTCTTTCACATTATTCTGACTGAGAGCATACAGGTAATAAGTGCTTGTTGTTGAGCCCCCCTTCTGTCCCAAGGGGGTTTTTTGGTTGGAATATACCTTTTATTCTCTTTTCCTGTATACAGTTGTTTCAGAAGTCCTTGGATCTCCTTATCACAAGTAATCTTCAGATTGTGGACTTCTACAGGCCTCTGTAGTCTTTGGAGATGATCTGTTAGATTTAAACCTGGAGCTGGACACTTTGTACCCTGGGGAGATGGTGAGATCTCTGCCAGTGAGCAGAATCACATAACTGTTTGACCAGGAAAGTTAGAAATCCTTGGTGTCTACAAGAACAGCTATAGATTACAGTCCAGCAGAGCCTGCCCTTAAGGCCAGTTCTGGTTCTTTAGCAGTGGCAAAAGTCAATGCTTGCTGATGGATGCAGCAAAAAGGCATACAAGAGTTTATAACCCTTAATAGTAAGACCTAAGTGGTTCATTCATACTTTGGCTGTTAAGTCAAACTCTTAATATAGCTGTTTTTGAGCAGTTGGAATTTTGGATACTTCAACAAAAGTTTCAGTTGATAAATATTGTTTCTTGCAGTCAGGCTTTCTAAGAGAGTAGAGCAGCCTAATACTTTTAGATCTGGAACCCATTTTGAATATTAACCCAATTAACTTTCTCCTTAAATATGCTTGCTTTCTGTGTGCCATTTTTACACCGTATACACTTGAATGGATATCCTGTTTTTCATTCAGGTGGGTAGCTGTGTTAATCTGAAGCAGCAGGACAAAGTTTGAGTCCAGTGGCACCTTTAAGTCAAACATGAGTTGTGTTTAAAGTATAAGCTTTTGTGTGCAAGCACACTTCTTCCAATACAGTGATACTGTATCTGAAGGAGTGAATAAAATTCTGTTGGTCTTAAAGGTGCTACTGGACTCAAACTTATTTGTTCGTTACCTTGGACTTTGCCATATAACCTCTACTTTCACACAGGTTCTATACAGTGCTTTAGAGCCACATTCCTTCATAAGATAAACTTCCATTTCATTTACTAGATTATATGCCTTTTATATCTATTTTGTTCCCCTCTCCCCTTCATAACTCATTATCCTGTGTTTTCATGTACTGTGGTTTGACAAAGTCAGCCCAGAAATTTAGGAGCAGGATAAATTTTTCAGTCTTCAGGATTTTGTATTTTAATGACCATGTTTTCCAAATATACTTTGTGGAAAACCTATTCCCAAGCTCTTCACAGTTTTTCGTATTTTTTGTTAAATTATGAGGAAAGTGTTGTAGTTACAAATAAATATTGAGTAACTTTGTTGTCATCACAATGAAAAACTAATCTCAAACCCTAAATTTAAGTTCTTTTCAGTTAGTCATGATTTCATTATTGCTTTGAAAAGCACCATTTAATTGAATATTGGCATCAGTAGAGAAAGCAGCTAGTTAAGGGATGAATTTATCTACCACCATGTAATGGTGTAAAGGTAACATATCAGCAAACATGGAGTGTGGAAGATGTGCAAGGAGCAACTTTGGTAACACTGCTTGGAACTAGGGTGGGACTACCCATACAATGGCAATCCCATTGGGTAACCCCTTCAGGTTCTTGCACTTAACTGGGGTGCTAAAGATTCTAATAATTGCTGTGTACTGTTAAAAAACAAAACATTTAAACAAATAAAGGCAAGAATGTGATGCACATGTATTTTAAGCTATCCAGCAAAAAACATATTCTGATGTGAAATGATAAATAAGCTTTGAATCTACTGAGGATTGCCAAGAGACACTGCAGTGAAATTTTTAGGTGCCATGGTGACCTGATGCCTGGATTTATCAAGCCCTGTAATATTCAGAATTTGTCCTTCACTATGGTGCTACTGGCTTAGCATCACTCCTTACTAAGACCTACAGGCTTTCTCAGTGATATGTTTGTGTATTAGTAGCGTATAAACATGGCAATACTATCTCTTCAGTTTCACTACTCAAAATGGCTTAGTTTGAGCATGGTGAGCTTTGGGGCATAGGAAGAGTGCCTGTGACTTATCATGTGCAGAACATGGCTCAACCAGTGAATAACTTGCAATCCACCAAGCCCTATGGGGAAAAATTATAAAACCTAATTTAAAGAGTCATGTAAATTGAGTTACATGAGGGAAAAGAGACCCATTCACTCAAATCCCCCCCCCCAAGTCCTGCTTGTCAGTTTTCTTCTGCTTACTGTCAAGTGAACTTTACCTGCCACACCTCATATCCGTTGAATACTTCTGTTACTGCTTCTTTGAGCCTCAGCATATTCTAGTTGGAAAAGGGCTTGGAGGGAAGAGAAGCAGCAACTGCAGTGCTTAGGGAGAAGTGGTAGTTGCAGTTCTACCCAGTAGTTGCCCTTAATGGACTCAAGTAATGGGAATAACCTGCAAATTCACGGGTATCTGGAGTGTACTCTGGCATATTCCCTAGTGAGTGGTCAAGGGATGTCCTTTCCAAGTACACCCACTCGAAGCCATGATAGCACTAGCCAGAGATGGAAATAAAGGGAGAAAGGATGCAATTGTAAAATTTCTCTTGCCCCTACTCTTATTTCCCAGTTTCCCATAATGTGCATGGCAGGAGATAGTGCCCAGGTCACAGGTGCCTAGCAGGAGGAAAGCATATGTATCATCGATAACTGCATTTAGTATAGTAGGTGGTCACTAAGGTGAATCTCCCCTCTTCTGTTTATAGTAA